GACAATGAAATCCCTGTGCCATCAAGCTAGGAGATTCTTCCGACACAAATGATCCTGCAACTCAATATTCACTGGGTGCGCTCACTGAAATTTAGTCCGTTTCCCTTCCTTGTTCCTTTTCATACCCACCCATAGCCAGGCTCGGCTGATGGGAGGAGTACGCTGTCACTTTTTCCAAATATAACTGAGCTCTGTGAATGCAAGATGAAAACTGCTGCAGGAGGAAATTACCCTGAAACTCAAAACTGTTAATCCAAGGGCATTGCACTGGGAGGAGCAGCAACAGGAGCTTGTAATTCTTGGGGAGTCCTCTGGACATGATCTAGTTCACTTGTTCCATGTTTTTTTTAGCCCAATCCACTTTCACTTGAAAGTAAAACCACACCTGGGGTAAAGGTGGTTCTGCAGGATCACGGCAAGTGACCCACTGGCCCGCAACCAGCTCACATTAACTTCTATACAGTTTTAATCGTCACTTAGTACACTGCTTTTGAGGAGTCCAGAGACTTAGCTCTATCATTTCTCAGTAATCTGAACGTTCTAAAGACCCCAGCAAAAATCTGAAGTATTAGGAAAACACAAATCATCCACAGGCTCCGCTGGAAGTCTGCCAAAGTTTTCGGCGCCGTGAAGAACTGGGCCATTCTTTGCAGTCTTACTTACTAAAAGGCAAATAAATGATAACAGCGATTTGGGGGTATTTCCCAGAGAATTTGTGTTGAAATTAATAAACTGAGAAACAATTTAGTGGCATAGCCACTAATTTTACATGGATTTAAACCATACTGGTACACAACTACTTCATTCGAGGCCTGATAAGGAACACTGAACCTACTCATTTGCCTTTCTATTGTCAGCGGTGACTTTCTGGATCCTGGCTGTGGCTGTTCCCCTCTGTATAAAAGGAGCTGCAACGCCGAGCAACGGATTCCCCCGGCATATTGCATCAGGCTTCTACTTCACTGTACGTCTCCTGTGCAAGTCAAGTTTTTCTGTAAGAGGATGGATAAAGTGAAGATGGGAAATGTATCAGACAGCAGAACAAGAAAAGTTATCATGTAAATTGACAGTGAATGTTCAGAACTGGGGTAATTAGCTGAAAGACAAAAAGCTTTTGTGTCTTATTTTAAGTACAGGACACATCCAAGGTACCCAGCACTGCCTCACAGCCAAGCACAGCTTTCAAGACATACCGTAACTACTGAAAATGAAGTGATACAGCTGTCCAAACGTTACCAGGATCCCAGCTTACTCACCCTTCCAAATGTCATTGCTGGTCCTCAAGATACCAACATTTGAGAAGCGTTGAAGAACATCAGACAAAAAATGGAGGATGATGTCTTCCACAAGAGACAAATGCCTAGGTAGGATACTTGAGAAAAGCCGAAGAATGCAACAGAGCTCCCACAGCATTATTTGTCTCTACACCTCATACTTGTACTTTTACCTGAAGTTAGTGCATTCCACAGTCTTTCCTAATCATTGGCTGCAAGCCGGAACTGTTGTTGTGCGTTCCCAGGAGGTTTTTTTATGCTCAAGTCCTCAGCTTGATTTAAAATAGGATGCTCTCTGTCTTTTAAGTTGGAAAATAAATGCATGTTACTGCATAGCACCGGTATCCTTCAGGAGGAAAGCACTGGGTAGTTTTTCATGCTCGCTTTGTTTCCATCAAACACTGGTGGTCTCCAGTTTTTGTAAGCTCAAACAAATAGGACAAAACACATGCTAATGCAAAGACTGCCTGACAGGCCAGCTTTTTAAATGCACCCAGCAGCATAAAGAACATTCCCAGCAGATAGAGAGAGACAATTTTCCATGTAAAATGATTATGATTTAACAGAAAAACTTGTTTTTAGCTTAAGGCGTTCTGGCAGCTGGAGATGCAGATTTGTGGCTATTCTAACCACTAAACATGCACGGATTGCAGCACAGGGTTGCCTGCTCTTTAGCTTTTAATTTACAGAACTAATTAGTTGGATTTACTGTCTTTAGCATCCTTTACCCTCTCTTTGCTTAAGGAGAAATAGATGAGCCCTGCATGTCAAGTCAAGCCCAATAGGCCAATAACTCCAGCACAAGGGCACGTCCAGCGGGAAACACCTCAGATGTAGCAAGAGCCTCAAATCTCGCAGCAGCGAATATACGTGTCACTTCAAGTAGAGAAGAGACAGGCAGAACCCTCACCTAGCCAAGATGCAGATCATCCGGGGGATTTAAAACTGCTCTAGCAGGGACGTTCTGATCAGCAAGGCGATTTCAGACCAGGATAAAGGAAAACACAGGAGTTTTGTAGCAAAAATGCAAGCAGCAATACTTTCCAAAGTGTGTTACGGCATCGGCACAAAGTAACACGTGTGGCAAAGACATTAAGGCAGTCGATTCAGTATATCCAGGATGTAATGAGGTTTGGAAGTTCACTTGTTAGCAGTTAAGATAGCACGGCTGAGTAACTACAGAGAAACCTACGTGGCAGTTACCACAGAAAATAATCATTTTCCTGCTCAGCTGGAGAAAATGCCCTGTACAGTAACACACAGCACAGAGCCACATAGTTTAGACTTCCAGGTATTGAAAAGATTAATACTTAAGCAGTAAGTTCTTCAACAAAAAGAAACCCTGCAATTACACTTTATTAGCAGTACTTTATTTAATGACTAGGGGATGAAGAGACCTTCCAACCACAAAGATGTTCGCAGAGAACACCAGAGCATTCCAGTTGGCAACCCGGCCAGCAGCAACCCGTTCAAAACCCTATTCGTTTGGAACTGCTCATTCCCTTTGTAGAAGCCCAACAACATAGGGCTCTACGAAGGCAAGGCAGGAGTTCTGATTTTAAAACATTTAAATACTATTTTAATGTAATGATAATTACATTATTATTGGGTGAAATCCCAACTTCACCACGCAGAGAGCGCTTACAGCATTTACCCAGGTTGCGACCAAGTCTCAGACCGTTCCACAGCCTCAAGGCTCATCTCCCTCCAGTACTTGAAAATTCAGACTCACTGGGAAATCCAGAGTTCAAACCTGCCCCCAGCCCTCTTGCTCCCTATAGCGATCAGAGTATCTTCCGCAGGACGAGGCAGAGCAAACCAGCGCAACGTCACGGTACCTTTTTCTTGTAAATCCATGACTGACTTTCTGCTTTCCCCCTCCATCATCTCAGCCCCACACATGGATGTCCCAGGGCTTCTCACAAGCTCCGTCTCTTGGGAGAACATCCCAGGCAGTTAACAACCCCTGCTGGGGAGCAGTTGCACCCTACAGCTTGGTTGCTCGAGTAAGTTGTCAGTATTTTTGTTGGCCATTTCCAAGCTGCTCCTTCTGGGTGGGGTATATGCAAGATCATTAACTCCTCTTTTTCTTACATTTGCTAGGGCAAGCATCATAGGATCATAGAGCGGTTTGGGTGGGAAGGGACCTTTCAAGGCCATCTAATCCAACCTCCCTGCCATAAGCAGGGACATCTTCAACTAGAGCAGGTTGCTCAGAGCCCCGTCCAGCCTGACCTGGGATGTTTGCAGGGATGGGGCATCTCCCACCTCTCTGGGCAACCTGGGCCAGGGTTTCACCACTTCCACTGTAAAAAAATTTCTTCCTTAGATCTAGTCTGAGTTTCCCCTCTTTCAGTTTAAAATCATTACCTCTTGTCCTACTGCAACAGGCCCTGCTAAAAAGTCTGTCCCTGTATTTCTTATAAGCCCCCTTTAAGTATTGCAAGGCTGCAGTAAGGTCTCCCCAGAGCCTTCTCTGCTCCAGGCTGAACTCCCCCAGCTCTCCCAGCCTGTCCTCCCAGCAGAGCTGTTCCAGCCCTCGGAGCGTTGCTGGGGGGTCCTCTGGCCCCGCTCCAGCAGGTCCGTGTCTCTCCTGTGCCGACGGCTCCAGAGCTGGATGCAGCACTGCAGGGGGGTCTCCCCAGAGCGGGGCAGAGGAGGCCCTGCTGGCCACGCTGCTTTGGGGGCAGGCCCAGGAGACGGTTGGCCACCTGGGCTAAAAGTGCACATTGCCGGCTCACATCCAGCTTTTCATCCATCAGCCCCAGCAGGGCTGCTCTCCATCCCTTCATCCCCGACCCATGCAGATACCAGGGGGTGCCCCCACCCAGGCGCAGGACCCTGTACTTGGCCTTGTTGAATACAAGACGTACCAGGTATGATAACGCAAGATGGAAAAATAGATCCTATAGGTACATTCCTGGTTGTTTTCTGTACCTCCAGCCATTCTGGAATACTTCTTGCATTCTAGACAGAGAAAACTTCTTGATGTCAAATTCTGTCTTGTTCGTTTTCATTGGATTCCCTCTGAAAACAGCACAGGTTGAAACAGGTCACTGAACTTGATGGCAAACAGACACTGAAGCCACAGGAAAGGCCAAGCAGAGATGGAAAAAATATTCAGTCTGAGGAAGTTACTGAAGGAGATTCAAACATGAGGGGTTTTGGGCTGGCTCTGCTCTATAGTCTAAGTAGCAACTATAAAAATGGTGCATTTTTACTCAAGAAATCTTGTTTCCTGCTTAGTCACTACCACAGCAAAGTCTGCATTTGATTAGCAGAAGCAACGATATTCAAGCTTAAATGCAGAAAACACATAATCAGTTTTATAGAGATAGTTCTGGTTTCACTACCAAGAAAAGCTTACCAAAATTAATTTTTCTCTGCGGCGACTGAAAGATTGCTGTATTCTTCCACCTTTTGAATAGTACTACTTTTCAGACAATCACAAAGATAATTTCTCTCAGTAGATTCACTTACATCCTCCATGTTGGGCCTCCTAGTAAGTCAAGAGTTTCAAAACAGCCTGCAGCAATCCAGCCTTTAGGTTAAGGAAAACTCACTTTTCACTTGTGAGTTAAGTCTGAATTAATTACCTCAATTAAGATGCTTAAAACAAATTCTTGGCCATTAGCAAAACATTGCCTAAATACAAATGCATACATGCACGCAGCAAGGATTTTTCTGGTATTAACCACATTAGAGATGAAATAAAGGTAACAGAAATTAGAAAAGCATTAAGAACAGTCCAAGCCAAACCGTATCCAGCTTTATTAAAGGTACTTTTCATAAACAATCATGGTAATTTAGGCAGGACATGGGCTACAATCTGCAACATTTTACAACAACTGTCAAACTCCCCTCCCTTCATGGACTACCAAAACGTAAAAGTTGCTATAAAACTGAAGAATCTTCATTTCATACTTGTAGAGGGAAAAGTTTAGAGTGAGGGTGGACACTTTCACATTTAGCATGTTGTTTAACAACTCTTCACAAACCTACCCTGACTTTTAGAGGCAAAAACCCAAAAATTAAAATGCAGGTTTCTTAATCTGAAAATCCACAATATAAAAGAGGAAGTACAGCTCCTTCTGGAGCCATTATATCCCAAATTTGACACCAGAAGTCCGGATCACTTGACAATGCATTCAGAGTGGGAAGTCCCAAAATGCCGGTTTTTGCCATGTTTCGGAGTGACAGGCTCTAGGCAAACAACGAGGACATGAAAGGAAATACAGAGGGCATTACAAACTGCAGTTTTGAAGTCAGCAACAGGCATCTTGGGAGCTTCGATGTTCACTCAAATGCACTTCACAGAACGTAACAGACGTGGAGCATGAAGGAACGCCTTCCTCCTCTATTCAGGAAGAGCCCCTTCTTCCAAAAACCGGGGGACCGGGAAAATTTTTCTTATTAAAATTTAGGTTCTGAGAAATATACTAAGTGACATTTGTCCCCACTGCCCCCCCCTCGAAACACAACAACGAAGCGGTCTGTGTGCTAACAACATAGCTTAAAAAAAAGTAAAACAAAATTCTGCATTGTTATAAAACTTGATAAAAAATAGTATTTCAAACTGTACAGTCACCAGAAGTACACAGTTATCAAAAATTCACACATTTTACTTGGCTTCACCAGCACCTTCGGCTTTCTGTGCCTAAAAGAAAAAGGGGAACCAGTCAATATATACCACGCACCTGCACCAAACAACTGATAACTCCTTTTTCTAAACAGCAATTCTCTGAACAGAAGAAATCTTACCTGGGCTGTGCCACTCTGATTTTCAACAAAATGAAAACTCAACATTCAAGGTACTGTAAAAGACAACCTGAAGTTGCTTTATTTAGTGGGAAATGCACCCCATTTTAGAACACGGCAGAACAGCAACTTCCATGTAGCAACTTCAACTGGCAAACAGACAACTTTAACTCTTTACCAACCAAGCAACACCCCCCCATCTCTAGACTTCTCATTAAGTGCCATAAGCAACAGGTCTAAATAATCAAGCAGTAATTCCTCTTCATTAGCACAAGCCTAGAGCTGCCTATATTTGATAGGGAAAAAGAAATTTTGCTGAAGTAAGATAAGCTGCGAGAGCTGCTGTTATACCTGGTCTGTTTTGGCATCTCCGTTTTCTGCAGGGTTGTTTCCCTCTTTGCCAGCATCAGCTTTCCCCTTCTTTCCCTTGGGCAACTTCTCGCTCTTCTGTAAATGTTAAGACAGCGCACACCATTACAATTACCAACATCCCACCATTACGCCACAACAATCCAAAAAACAGGATGGTAAAAACCAATATTGGATGTTGGCCCGAAACGAACCCAACACACAGATGTTTGCATCTTAAAATGACTGACAACAACTGTAAGGAGTCTTCACTTGGGTATTATTTTTATGTAAGTTTTATAAAATTCAGAAGTTTTCAGTGCAACCTCATAGAAGTGATGATGCAGCTCAGTTCTATCCCTACATATGCTGTTACTCAAGACTTTTATTAGTTATTACCAGACAAATCCAAACCTCACAACTCATTCACCTCTCCATAATAGTGCTGATACAACGACTTACCTTTGGAGCTGCCTTTTTCGGTTTAGGCTCTGGCTTCGGAGGAGCAGGCTTCTGCAAGCAAGACAAAACCACCCTCCTGTTATTCAAATTATTTTAAGAGAAACACACTACTTTTTTTTAAAACATTCAACCCAAATAGTTCCGTTTTAGGAAAGCAAATCAAAACATTTGAAACAGAAGCATTTACCGGATTTGTCAATTATTCTACCACTCTTGTAACACCACACAACGGGCACTTCGTTAAGCCAGTAAAGTTCTTTCAACTGAACAATGTGTCTCTCCAGAATACCTACAGCTCCCGTGCAGATGTGGTACCTAATATTCAAGCCTAAAGCTACTAAGTTTTGTGATAGCTCTGCTCAACAAGAGAATACTCACAGCAGATAACCTCGCCGATCTCCGCTGTGGCTGTTTAAAAAGAAAAATGATTGAGTTTAATGTGATGGAATATGAACTCTCAAAACCTCATAAAGCAACTCTCACTTCAAAGTAGTAAAATCCCAGAACTAATGTTTTAAGTTTTTAGATCGCTTCTTTCCCGTTCGCAAGAAACATGAGACTATCCCGTTTAAATCGCTACTAATAGCTAACAGCAGTCAAGGAGATTTTGCACGGTTACGGTTAAAAGACAGTTAATACCTCTGAAAAGCCAGAATCAAT